TAATGTCTGGATCAGATGTGATGACTGGGTTGTTGTCAGGATTAATTGTGTTTGTCATTTGGATGACATACACCAAGAGGGAAGGTTTTATTTAGAGTAAGGGAACCTTTTTTTTTTCCAACACCTGCCGGTAGAAGATCAATATTTTTGCCTGTGTTCAGCCATCTTCAAAAAAAATAATAATTTCATGAACCACCAACAGGTTTTATGGTACATGAATTCTCATGAAATATTGACCAAGTGTGCATCTACAACTTATTAACATTTAGAGTCAACAGATTTCAAGATGACCGCCACASATGTCTGACATTAGGCAAGACAAAATTGCTCTAACTCAGCCAGTTTAACATATATTGAGTAAAAGTAGTGTGTGGCATTAGCTGAGCAGGATTCATAACACAATCTCTGAAATTCCAAGTATTTGTTTCTTAAAAACTTTGTCAATAACTGAGCAGACCTTGTCTGTTAGCAAAATACCCCATAAACCACTGGACAAACTCTCTGAAGCTCTCAGAAATTAAATATTGGATGTATGTCCTGATGCATCTCAGTAATTCAGGTAAAAAATCAAAAGGAAAAAAATTGYATAGGTCCTCTGGACGGGTTCTTCTTTAATGAAACGTTTCGTCTCTCTTCCAAGAGACTTCTTCAGTCTGAGAGTTTCAGGCAAAATTCCTGCAAAATAAATTTTGCCTGAAACTCTCAGACTGAAGAAGTCTCTTGGAAGAGAGACGAAACGTTTCATTAAAGAAGAACCCGTCCAGAGGACCTATACATTTTTTTCCTTTTTATTGGATGTATACTATTGTTTAGGTTTTAAAGGCAACACAAGTTTTTTTTTCCTTTTTTTGTAAAATTACCTAATTTGTAGGCATGTTTGTGCTGATGAGGTTGATTACCTATGGGAGCTATAAACTTAGCACAAAACATAAGGAAATTTGTGTTTGGTGGATTGGGTATCTGATGTAACAATGCCTGTTAAATTCCCTTTTAAATTGTGCCACATTTGTAAGGAATTTGTGGGGTTGGAAATAGAGCTGATTATGTGAACACATGGAAAATTTGCCAAATCTTTTTTTTTCAAACAGCTTGTTTTGTTGCTGCTTCTGATTATTGTTGCTTTGGTACAACCAGATGCTGCTAATCAGAACAGGTGCCCAATATAAGATTTGTTGCCAAGAAGCATTGTTACAAAAAATAATTAATCCACCAAACACACATTTCCTTACTCTATGTGCTAAGTTTAGCATAGAAACAACCTACCAATCACAAACATGATTACAAGCATCATYCATACAGTGAGCTCTAAAACATCTCACAAGATCCTTACAATATGACATGAAATCATGCATCACATCATTCACAAGATTTAACCAAAACCGCCACAGCTCTGTCCCTGTAACCATCATAAGTTTATATTATAAGACTTAGTCCGGCACACATGAAAGGTGGCGGGCAATACGATTTCCTTGAAGGACTGCACAGCTCCCATGTTCTCATAAGATATCTGAATTAAACAGATTATATTGAAGAAGGAGAAGAACAGAGAGGAAGCCTAATTAATCTTTTAAACAGTAGGGGGCGCAGGAGGCATTTCAGTATCAAACATGAGAGTGTATAAAAAAAACTGACCATTCCATATGTCCAGATGTGCACAGTCAAACAGAATAATTACGCATGTTGACTTTAAACATGTGATTCCTTTACAGTGCACCCCCCCACCC